CACGTGCCCCAGTGAGTGGGCGAGGGAGCATGCGGGGGGCAGTGTGTGGGGATGGGGATGGAGGTGGAGGAGACAGACGTGCAGGAGATGGAGATGGAGGTGGAGATAGAGGTGGAGGTGGAGATGGAGATGGTGACGATGACTTCTCCTGGCAGGATCTCACCCGTCACCCACCCCGAGGCACACGGAGAACTACTGCCGCAACCCCGATAATGACAGCCATGGACCCTGGTGCTACACCATGGACCCCCGCACCCCTTTTGACTACTGTGCCATCAAGCCCTGCTGTGAGCCCCTACCCATGTTCCATCAGAGCTGGGGGAGTCCCTGGCCACCCCTTGGGGTAGTTTTTGTCTCCCTAGGGTGGCTGGGTCCCACCCCAATGCCACCCTCTGCTTTCTCCGCAGCTGGCAGCATGGTGCCCTCCGTCCTGGAGAATGCAGGTGGGGGCCCATGGGTGCCAAGTGGGTGCCGCAGGGTGGGTGCTGGTGGCACAGCCCCAGCTGACACCCACCCTGTGTGCAGACGTGGTGGCATTTGAGGAGTGCGGCCAGCGGGATGAGAGGCTGGAGGGGGAAGGGGGGGCCGTCTGGACCGTCAGCATCCGCAACCGGTGAGCGGGCACCCCACCTGCACCACCGCGCTGCCAGCATCCCTGCCGGGAGCTCACCCTCTGCCCGTCCTCGCAGGGCTGGCGTGCACTTCTGCGGGGGGTCCCTGGTGAAGGAGCAGTGGGTCATCAGCACGCGCCAGTGCTTCTCCTCCTGGTAAGGCCAGGGCCGGGACGTCGGGTGCTGGGACCCCCCATGCCCTCATGTCACCATCCTGCAGTAAAAAGCTCCGAGGTCCAGCTGGGCACGCTCTTCAAGGACCCCCGCCCCGGGGACCCCGACCAGCAAACCATTCCCATCACGCGGATCGTCTGCGGCCCCTCCGAGTCCCAGCTGGTGATGCTGAAGCTGGCGAGGTGAGCGGCTGTGCCCTGGCTCCCACCGCACCCCGTTGCTGACGAGGCTGGCACCACGTCCCACTGCCCCTCTCGCCACAGGCCGGCGGCTCTAAACTCACGCGTGGCCCCCATCCGC